GATAGATAGATAAACAAAAAGATTGCATCCCTGAAATTATTTCACCTGTAATCACAATACCTGGAAGCTAGGTGACATGGTTGTTAAAAACTGGACACTTTCTTTCAGTTGTGCCTATAAATAAAATGAAATAAAACTAATTAATTTGGTCCCGTGAAATATTAATCACATGCTTCCTCTTCCATTCAAATAGAACCAGAAACCCAACCTTCACTTTATCTAAAATTAAATTTTATAGACTATTAATTTAAAATCTCCGAATAGGTTGCTTTGGTGGTGGGATTCCACCCCAGTTCGCACCAGTTTGGGAGAACCGGTTGTTAACTTTCTGAGCGGTTTGGTGAACTGGTTGTTGGAAGAAATCATTAGGGCGGAGAACCGGTTGTTAAATTATTTGACTCCCACCCCTGGGTCGCTTGCTCTTTCTGTTGAAGCCCTTCTGAATGTCAAGTCGAGGCTCCTGGGTGTGATTCACCGAAAGCTTACCACGAGGGCCTCCATTGGGAGGACTATCTGGTTCTGGACTCTTCTGAGCTTGTGAGCTTCCTCCACCAATCGTCCTGCCAGAGTTCTGTCGCTCTGCGGGAAACATCAACATCTCTGGGTTGACTGGGAAGTGAGGACGGGAATTTAAGAAAGACTTTGCTTCTTTCCCACCCACCCCCCTTATAAATGGCCACCCATCTCAACTGGTTCCCCACCTGAACGTTACTCAACCTTTCAAGATCGACTGCCAATCCTTCCACATTGGTCTTCACCACAGGGTTGCGCAACTGAAAGAGAAATCATCCGCCGTGTAAGGGGCTGTGAGAATATCCTTGGGAGGAGGAAGTAAATACCCGAGACAACAGCCTGCAGAAGGAATGGAGGTGCTGAAAGTGCCTCAGGTGGGGCCCTCCCTATTTCTCTGGAAGGTAAAGGTGAGGGAGGGGAGAAGAGCTTTCAATCTTTCATACTTCTGTTATTATGGAGTGTCCCTGCAGGTTCCACCCGGATAATCATGACCAACTTTAGGAGGTGATGTTTATCTCTATTTCTTAAGCCAAAGAGCCAGCATTGTCCAGAGAGGTTTCAGCAGTCATGGGCCAGCATGACATCACGCCGCAGCATGGAGCATACAGCGAAATACAGAAGGCTGTTACCTTCCCACATGTTTATATGCTGCTGCAGTAACCTTACAAATAAAAGTAGAGTTAGTCATGATCTGAGCATCTTGTCTGGACTACCTCAAAGGGCTGGCACCGAGCGACTTCTGCATCTGTAGTTGTGGGTAGAAAAGAACATCCCAAAGGTCATTTTTCCAGAAGGCAACTGGACTTTCTTGTTTGTTTGTTTTTCCTTTGAAAACATCTTGCTTCTCCTTCAAGAAGCTTCTTCGGTGAAGAACTTGAAGAACTGAACTGAAGAACTTGAAGAAGCTTCTTTCAGGAGAAGCGAAACATTTCCAAAGAAAATAGAGAAACAAGTAAGTCCAGTTGCCTTTTGGAAAAGCCCCTTTGGGACAACCCTGACCTGGATAATTGAAAGCTTCCGTAGACACAGAGTCCAGGCAGGACATCTGCCTCCTCCTCCCCCCAGGTACAGACTCACCTCTGCCGTGAAGTCAGCGTAGTTGACCAAGTCCACCTGGCTCTTCCTGAAGGCCTCCAAGTCCCGCCTCCCTTCGGCATTCAGCAAAACAAGGTCTTCGAAGTGGAAGTTGAGGGCATGGAGACGTTCCTGAAACTCAGCCGTGTACTGGAGCGGAAGGGGGGTGGGGGGTGGAAATGGAGGTTGCTTTCACAATGGCAAAAGTTTTAATGCGGTTATTCGATTTAAGGTTGGACTAAGTTTAATGAATTCATTTTTAATCATTTTATTTTTTTTAATCAATGGATTCATTTCTCTGAATTTATTATAGCCGCCTGACTCCAATGTCAAAGGTAAAATCAATACTGGGAGGACGTCCTGGGGGTGGTATCCCCATTCTCCCTCCACCTTCGGGCTTGT